GTTCTGTGAGGTAGCTTGTGATCAGTTGGTAAAGATTCTTTGGACATCGCAGGTCTTTTAGTTTTGTTTTGAGCGCTGGCCATAGTTTATTGAATGCGGAAGCTACGTCAAGTGATATTATACACGTATGGAGGTTATTTTGTCTGGTATTTAAGATGATGTCTTGAACACGGTTGAGGGCGTCGGTGGTGCTCCCCCTTTAGTAAACCCGAATTGGGCGGGGTTTAGTAGTTTGTTTTTGACCAGGTAATACGTTAATCTCTGCGTAATCATCTTGTCAAGAACCTTGCCCCACGCTGAGAGTAAGCAGATAGGTCTGTAAGAACTGGGCATGGACTTTGGTTTTCCCTCTTTCTGGAACAATACTAGCTCTGCGTTTTTCCATTCCTTTGGAAAATAACCTAATTCGAGGCACTTGTTAAAGAGTGCTAGAATTTGTTTGTCGTCCGCGAGCCTAAGCTCTTCAATGGTTTCAATCGTGAGGCCATCCAGCCCAGGAGCTTTACCTCGGCGTGTTGAGTTTATCGTACGTTTCATTTCTTCAAGTGTGAATGGCTGATCGTCTTCCGAGTTTGGAATCTCGGTTGATTGGGCACGGATATCTGCATGATATGTAGAGTCCTCGTTGGGATCGTCTTCTGGAAAATGGAACCTCATGATTTCTCTAATTGTATCCTCAATTGTGCTCGTCATTGTGATGCCTTCTTTTTGAACTGAACCTATCTGTAATGGATCCATGCTCTTCCCTTTAGCTAGATCGAAGTATGTTCCGAACGGAGAGCTGACAGTGATTTTGTTCCATGTCATGTCCCATGCTTTTTTCTTTTCTTTATACATCTTTTGCCGGTACTGTGCACGTACCTTTTGGTAAAGCAGCCTGTTATGGGTCCTTTCCTCTCCAGTTGTTTTTTGGAATCTTTTCCTTGTTGTTCTATCCTTTTTCCTGAGAATAGTGAGATCTTTTATCCACGATGGACAGGTGCGCGATCTTGGTTTCGAGTTATGTGAGAGAACTGTTCTTTGATAGATCTCGTGAAGACTAGTGGTAACTTCTCTTACATATTTATCGATTTCTTCAATAGTTGTCAGATTTCTAGGGTCAGCTAAAGATTTTGAGACATAACTTTTGAAACTTAGCCAGTCGGTATGTCGTACATTGATTTTCGATCTTCTCCATGTTGGGTAATGAAAGCTGGAGACGTCAAAATAGATATTATTATGATCGCTATTGTTTGCTTCGTCCGTTACCTTCCAATTATCGATCCGGATTCTGTCTCTATATGATAAGTGTGAGGTCAATCCAGCTGTTGCCACTTACTCCTGCGAAGGTTGGCGTATCCCCTATCTCGTTGACAATCGATAGTCCAGTGCTGGCAATGAATTCGCATACTTTGAGGCCTCGTGTATCCGTATTATGTGAGCCCCATAGGGGACTTTTGGCATTGAAATCTCCAATAATTATTGTAGTTATGTTGTTATTGTCCTGCATAACCTTTCTAGGGTTGTCAGGATTGGTGCAATGTCTTGCGATGGAGGACAGTATACTGTGATTAGTATAAATCTTGAGTCACTGCCTATTGCAAGCGCTATAATCTCCGGAGAGCTGAAAAGTTCCAAAACTGGGAGATTTGAGTCCGCTATAATCACTGCAGTTTTTGCGTCTGTTCGAGAGTAGAACTTCCTATATTTTGTGGGGAATCCGTACAGTTTGTTCTGTACGGTGTACGGTTCCTGGATACATGCTACTTTGAGTTTATCGTTCTGCTCAAAATTTATCTTTAAGCTGTCTGTTGCACTCCTGGAGTGCTTAAGATTAATCTGGATTATTTGGATGCTATCCATAATATGTTCGTTGTTTTAGTCGTTCGAGCTCTTTTAGGTAGCATGGCCATTTCTTATCTCGGCTATCATGTTGGGCATCGAGGCCTGTATTATATCGTTTATTCACCTTTGTGCAGTTGACACAGATGAGTGTTTTTTAGTCACAATTGGTCTTCTCGTGGTCTGTGGAGCCGCATCCGGCATAGACTTTATCTTCCTTGCAATATTTCGCTGGGTGGTTATACCCAAGGCATTTGACACATTGCGAAACCTTTATAAACTCCCTTACGTTGTTTCTTGACCATTGTATGTTCAACTTCCTCGTTTTCATAAGGATCTTGAAAGCTATTGGGTCCATAGATAGAACCCAGTGCTGTCCAAAGCGGGCCTTCATGGCGAACAGAACCTCTAATTCACTTTCTGCTAGGTAGGTGTTCTGTGTTTTAATGAAGTTTACTATCTCTTCTTTATTAATGTTCTCGTTGACATTGTAGACTATTATTCTGGGGTTTCTTTTTTGTGGATGTTTCGACTCCACTACGTCCTTCAGCTTCCGATTTTCATTTATGGCCACTTCAAGTATTGCCAGTTCTTCCTTTTTCGTAACTTCTACTAGGAGCCCTCCTTTGTTGACTCTCTTTATATTCTTGACGCCTACTTTGAGTTTCCCTGGATCTATGTACTTCACCAGCTTCTCCTTTACCTCGTCGGATGTACTACCCTCAGTCTTAGGATAGACTAGTAATACATGTTCTGTCTCTTGCCGTGATCTTGATTGTGATCGTCTAGATCTAGAACTACTTCTGGATGGCCGTCGAGATCTTGCAACTTCTGCATAAGACAGCTTTTGAGTGGCGACTATTCCTTGGATGCATGTCTCTATATTCTTATTTTGTTCAATTTGTCCTTCCAAATTGGCAATTTTGTAACTCTGCCTCGAGACTATTCTTAACATATGGTCAAAGAAACCTCGTATCTTTTTGTTTGCTTTTGTGGAAATGTCGTCTCTATTTAAATATGCAATTAGATTAGTATAGCACTCTGAAGCTTCCTGATACTCTGTACTGGCATCTACCAAAGTTATATCAACGTCTGGCTGTCGTGTACTGCACTGTTTCTGTGTCTTATCTATTATTGGAGCACTGGCCGACTGCGTCTCATTGTCGGGGCGTTGCCCCTTAGGCTCTTTATTTTTTGGACGAACCATCTCACTTTGTGTTTTAAATAGTTCCAAAATAATTTTTTAAGCAGAAATGAAAATTTTCTGACGAAAATTAAACAAATCGACCAACGGGCATAAAGACTTTCAATTTTGGTGTACCCAAGAATGTCGGCTCCTCCCTTCAGCGTGCAGAAAGACTTTAGTTGTTGGTGCACCTAATCCCTGGTGTCAGCATGTATCCGCCGCACTAAGCCTAACGCTTACTGAGAATTACAAATGCAAATAACATTTTTCATACATGTACCAAAGTCACGATTTTCAATAACTACGTAGAGAAACACATATAGAATCCTATTTTATCTCAAACGTTATTAGCACAGTATATAAAAACCTTGAGAGACAATGCTTACTCAGAATATTCAAATGAAGGCGGCGGACAGCAACAATTTTAAAAGTCTTCCTATCCTCGGAGATTTCCCTTCTTCGCAGAGAAACCCCACAAATATCGCAACCGGAACTTGTAATCCATGGAAGAATCACATTTTCACAAACACAAGTGGTATAATTACCAAGATTTTAGCACTTTTAACGGAGCACACAAAAACCATAACCAATATGGCCGCTGACAGGCGCAGATCCTTTTAAGCAGGAGATATAAAAAATTAGGAACGGCCTCCCCGGGAATCGAACCACGGACCTCTGGAATACGCATCCAGTGTACTGACCGCTACACTACGAAGGCATACAAAGATGGTGGGAGAAATACCTTATAACCTAAGCTTTTTACTTGACAACAAACTCACTTTTAAACCTATGACAAACTCAGAAATTTTTATAGCTAATTTAGTATCTCTTCTTGGAAAATATGACAGTCTTTCTCTTTACAATAAAATAATATTAAATAAAACAATGGTTTTTCTATCTTTACTTTATACCTTCCCTATATAGGGATATGTTGAAAAAACAAATGCATATACAATACATATTGTGCGAAACAGAAGCCTTAGAGCCATCAAATATTTCTTTTCCAAAAATGTTCATAGTTTTTGCTATAATATAAAATATCATCAAAGCACTATACTTTTTCGTGCGCACAAGAGCTAATACTCTTCTTTTTACTTCCTTGCACAATGTAAAGGAAGAATTGAAATCACAAAAAATTTCGGGTATCATATTTCATCGAAAATATATTCACCTCCTTTTTTAATTTCAATCGACACATATATCACACACACATATATCTATCTATCTACTACCTATATATATATATATATATATATATAATGATAACGCTGTGAAAATGGAGAAACATTTTGTATATAGAAAGAGAGGGCATCAGCTATCTTGCAGTTATCTGGTGGTGATGGATGACTACTCGCTACAATTATGCTGCGTTGTAGATGATAGGAGTTTTGAAGAATTACAAAACAATTTTTCCAAGGCCTAAATTTAATTTTCTGAAGAATAATTTCTTATAAATACTTATCTGCTGAGCTGGGAGAACATTACACATGCAGTAAGCACTTTACAATAGCTATACAACGTATCACATTTTGAAACAATGGACAAAGTCAGCAAGCGAGTACGACATGTTAGTAAAGTAGAAGCTAGAAGCGGAAAAAAGGGGCGACCAACTATAAGAGCCGGGCTATTTATAGCGATGCACAGTGTTTGTCTACAATCTAAGCCGTCTTTGTCTACAGTCTAAGTCGGCATTGTGGAACACACTACAGACGTCGGATTTTAGAAGGTTATATTCCTTAATGTCATACTATTTTTAATTATCACACTTGACCCTCCCTGCCTGTAGCGAAGCAGAGAGTCTATTTTCCGGAGCTTCAAAATACTATATGTTCTTTATAAGAATATTATTACGTTTTTTTTTTCCCACTGCATATATTTTATACTCTATTATTGTATATCGTTTACTAACTAGAGGATAAATGTAATTCTAGGATTAGAGAAAAACATTTTTGCTGATATTGTTTTAACTTCAGGTTTTCTTTCTCTTGTTTAGGCACTTTTCAGGGGCAGTGGATGCGAGGAATGCGCCATGGGTACGGAGTGCGGACGAGCGCGACTTTCGGCCTTGCATCGCACTACCGTCCGAAAAGTGCGCGCGGATCCCTTTCATCCATTCCGGCGAGTGAGCAAGCGGACCCAGCCAGCGATCGAGACCGAAAGATCGACGATTTTCGAGGGGGTTTCGTTCTCAAATCTCGAAGCGACGAACCACCCGCCCGAAGAAGGTCCCTTGTCGAGAAGTCCACCAATCTGAAGAAATCCATCTTGCAGGTGAGAAGAATTAAAAAGAAAAAAAGTTTTTTTGTTTTATTCCTTTAACAGGAGCAGCTTATTCTTTCGCATGATACTTTCACACAGTACTTTCATAGGCGCACATTACAATGTTTCGCCTGGTCTTAGGTATGGTGTAAGCCAATGTTTATTATGAAAGAACAGCCCGTGTCTTTCGTACAAATATGCAATTTAATTTCTGCCTAAATCAAGCCAGTTATTTATATGCTTCTTATAGTCAACCAAATTCCTCTATTTCCACAGAGAAATGTGTCAGTGTTTCATATTTTTCTACTTATATTCTTTATAAGAATTCTTATTCATGCACAAAGTGGTTCAAAGGCCTAATGTAGCAAACTTAAATGGGGTGATAGAACGCATCGAAACAATTACTTTACGTCATAGTATGCATAGTTAGCGATTATAAGCTACAGGGTGCTTTTTACTTCTCCACACACGATTCTTCCACAAAGCAAAAACAGATGAGGATTATTATGTCAGCTTCCTCCATATTTTTATGCCTATGCATTCCAAGTATTAGTGATAAATTATCAACGATGTACCTTCTTCATGAACATAGCGCAGAGAGCAATGAGTCAGGTCAGTGAAAATAAGGTTGTTGAAGACACATGACGTAATTATGTACAGACATTAGGTATTTTTTGGAAGCACGCAAGATGAAAAATGAGCACACCTTTGCCGTAAATCGAACCGCGGACCTCTGGAATACGCGCCCAGCCTGCATACCACTACACCACGAAGGCATGGCAAGAAGGCGGAAGAAATGCCTTATATACTTCCCCTTTTTTAAAGGGCGACTGGGGTTTTTAGGGAACCCAATCGCCAAATCCTGGGTGAGGACGATCATCATCCACAACCCTTTTCAGTTCGGCCGTCACTGTAGAGACATTAGGTATTTTTGGAAGCAGGCAAGATGCAAAATGAGCATGCCTTCACCGGGAATCGAACCGTGGACCTCTGGAATACGCGCCGAGCTTGCAGACCATCACACTACGAAGGCATGCCAAGAAGGCGGGAGAAATACCTTATAATTAAATCTAAATTCAGGGTCCTTGTGAGAGGATGGCAAAGAAAGGTGATACAGAAGTGAAGTAATTGTTGCTTAATGAATGATTGTTTGTACTGTTTGAGAAAAATGTGAGGCCATTAAGACTAAAAACATAGAAGTCAAAGCAATACAAAATCCGTGGCATTGCATAATATGCAGATGAAAAATTAAACTGTATACACAAAGTAAAATGGCTGTGCATGCGAAAGCCACCAGTTCTATATGCTTGAGACTAAAAACGCGTGATGTCTTGAAATATTGCTTGTAGAGGTGTTGAACATATGGTACTGATTTTTGCGATCAAACGCGTTTGGTTCAGTGCTCTTTATCATCCCTTAGATTTTTTTATTATTTCTGAAGCCTCCATATAAGTGTTATCTGAATATTTCATTTTCAATCACGTGAACATCTCCCAATAAATTGATTTATTATTAGATTATGATGAAACATACTAAGGCTATTTGTAAAAGGGAAGAGAGTAGTGTGTATATGCCGGAGCTGGCGCAGAGCCATTTACCCTCCCATAAAAACAGTACCCACTTTTAGAAATGTAATGGCTCTGTTTCACCCATATAATTTTTTTAAAACAATGGCTCTCAAATCACCCATTAAATTTCCACCCACTTTTAGAAAAGTAATGGTTCTCAAAGCCCCCATTAAAACCGCACCCACTTTTAGAAACAATGGTGTGAAAACCCTCCATTAAATTTCCACCCACTTTTAAAAACAATGGTGTGAAAACCCTCCATTAAAATCGAACCCACTTTTAGAAAACAATGGTGTCAAAACCACCCATAAAAAAACTGAACCCACTCTTAGGACGAACATGCAAAAGTCGCTGACACGGAAGGGTACCCCATTCGGCGAGCACCCCCTTTTTCTTTTAATAGTTCGAAAACTATTAAAAAAATGTATAATATATACCACCCATAGTTTGCATTTGTTTATTTTTTATTGCATAATGTCCTAAGGCCAAAGTATGAACACCATCCTCCAATATGTGTCGCTTGTCATCTTTTCCTGATAGGGCAATCTTATTCACTTGTATGGAATGAATCTCATGCTTTGTGCTCCTGATGAGATTCATGGTCCTGTACTGTACTTCCTGTGAGAACAAACAGCTTTTATAGTCCCCGAAAGATATCCTATTTTTTCACTACACATTTCTTAACACCCTTAGACTTTTTAATTAGCTCTTTTTCAGTTTTACAAGCATACATCTTAGATCTTAAGCCAACGAACCTCTTCCAAGATCTTCCCTGCATTTTCATCCTTCATCTTCCCCAATACCTTTTTATTGACTCGCGGTATTCCATACCTGTTACCTTCTGCATAGTCAGATGTATCAAAGTAGTCAATCATTCCTTTCATATCCTCATAAAAGTCCTCGGTCTGTATGTCATAGATGTAACTGTCAGTGTCCATGTACAATAGCTTGATATCGTCCCCGTATTTAGGCTTCATAAGATTATAATGGAAGTCGTACATCAGATGCTTCGATAGATCTAATATACTCATGCCGACGTATATTGGCTTATTAAAGATCACTTTCGTCTTGTTCATATGCACGGCGGCTAACCTTTCGTCGAAAATGGTCCTCCCCTTGAAGTTGGGCTTAGCAATGAGCTTCTCCGCTTTCTTGGGATCGCATACTAGTCTGATATCGAGTCGCTTCCTGATATTTTCCATCGTCTTGCCAAAGACCGAGTTGTTCATGAGTTTGAAGAAGTCTTTCTCAAAGTTATTGGTTGCCTTGGTCCTCATTTCAGTGTTCAGGTCTATGTATCTCTTCAACCAGGGAGACTGCTGAAAACTCCAACACTTTGTGCACCTTTTTGAGCTTCATCCCCAACTGCAACAGTTGCTTCAAAACCCTGTAATGAACCACATAATGTTCTTTGTCATAGAGGGTCGTCAGTAGTTTTTGGTTGTTTTGAGCCATCGGGCATCCTGCTCTCAGGTGCTAGAGGTAGGTCTGAATGGAGGTTGTGCAGATGGGCTGGGTACTGTAGGTCGCAATCGACGATGTATCCTGTGTCTGAGTCATCCGCTACTTGGGTCACATCTGACACAGTGCTCCACTTGAAGCCACCATACGGTAGGTATTGACTCATGGCCCACCCGTAAAGGTTGTTGGCGTCAAGGTACATCAGGTAATTGGACTTCTTGTTCTCGTCATAGTCCTTCATGTACTTGTTGTTCGCCCTCCCATATCGGTTACAACACTGAGAGACACCTCCTCTGGTCCCCTTTTCTAGCATGAGTATCATGTCATAGTCTGTCAACAGCTCTAACTCGACCTCTGTGGTTTTGAGCATGGCATCCCAGGAGAGTCCAGGTGCGGTGAAGTACCATGCAGGATCCAACTTATAGGTCTTTAGACAGACATCTCGAAAGTGCTCCATGATGTCGGCAAGGATGAGTACATCAGTCTTCACATACAAATCGGAATATCCACCCAATGTCCTAATGTTGAAGGCCCTCCATACCCTTTTGGCGTGCTCGTAGTCCTCATCCTTTATGTGAGACTCATTCAATTGGTTGTAAAAGTCTTCTTGTGGGGGCAGCTTGGTCTCTTCGCATTTGTCCCACGAGTCCATGTAATCGTATGGATAGACGCCTTTTCGGGTGACGAGGTCTAGCTTGTCCTTGGGGAAGTACTTGGCTGTCTCCCTGAACTCCTTTACGTTCTTCGCAAGACTGTCTAGGCTAGCAGCCATGAACTTGAACGAGTCGACAAACCTCAACTTTATGCCAGGCAACTTTACTTTCTTCCCATCGCCTACATCTAACATCTTTGCCCCGACCTCCTTGCTGAATGAAATGTACCTCTCCTCGTTGTTCGGAATGACATCAATGTCTCCTTTCTCCCCACCGAGCTCCTTTATGAAGAGATGGGCGTCGTAGCCAGAGAGGTTGTGGATAAACACCGGAATGAACGAAGGCTCTTGGTACTTTAGGTTGCAAAGGTTGTGAGCAGGCCCTCTGTAGTTCGATTCACATTTCGCCGGATCAAGAAGATGGTCATGATCTCTGACCTTTCGGAAGTCTGGTTCATCCTTGGGTGAATAGGGGGAGGGTTTCTTCCTGATGTCTCTGCCACAGATATGGCAAACATGGGTCCTTTGGAAGTGCTCTTCATCTTCGGTGGTCATTTTAATGGGTTGCTTCTTATCATAAATGTTCTTTATCGCTAGCGCCTCAGCCTTCACTGTATCAAAGAACAGTTTGGTGGCATTGGGTCCTCTGTACGTGATTGGTGCCTTGTAGTCTGCATGTTTATACTTGATGTAGACAGTGAAGCTCATAGGCTCGTGTGCTTTTGATACTTATGCAAGAAGGATGCGTCTTCATTGGGATGACAGCTGTTTATCTTGTTTGTCAAGCACTCGAAGTCTCCATACATCACAAAGGGTACTCGCAATGACCTTTGGTAGTTTTTGAACCTCAGAGATTCGTCTTCCTTAGGCATTACAATCTTTACTGGCGTGTTCTTCCTACAATCCGTCTCATGAACTTGAAGGTCCTCCTCAGAGTGATAAAATAACAGGCACCTTTCACAGGGATATACTCTTTTCTCATGTTTAGTTAATTGAGCACTTATTAATTTCGACATGTCTTTTATCCAACAGTAATGACTGTTTCCTTCTTTATTCCTTGTGTACAGCAAATTGACGTGTTTGTCTTCCTTATTTTTAGTGATTCTCAATGGATAAATGTCATTACCTTCGTATGAGTATATGCTCACCGATATGTCATTCAACTTCTCGAACCTGTTAAATACTCTGTCTTCCATCTGCACTGGGAACTCAATGCCTTCGAACTTTAGCTCATTCTCATACGGTTTTATATTGGTGACTCTTTGGGCATCTTTTTCCATAGGGTGCAGTGCAGAGAGTATTGCCCACATGAAACACTTATTATCCTCATT